GACGCGCAAAGAAGAGTATCTATTATTAGTTCGCTATAATCAGTGTGCTATAAACTTCGGAAGTTATAACTGTGATTGTTATAACGCTTATCAATCGGAAAACTTCAGATATTTGACCAGGAATATTTATAAATTTCTAACATTACAAACCATTTAAATTCAGTGGATTCTCATCGGACATTAGTATTTTTATGAATACATTATATAAATTCAACGGTGGAAAACTCAGCGTGTGTGGCAAAGGACAAAGCTAGCTAGCTTCCCGTTAAGTGAAATATATCTCCATCAGCTCGTAATCAACTCGCTCATCGTGAACCCTCGATAAGATATAAAGGAAGTTCCTAACTAGAAAGAAGACTTTATATTGTTGTGTGTATATTAAAACGTATTTGGGTTAAAAACGGTGTGTATCAATCTTGTTGGCAAATATCATAAACTGACTATATATCGGCATTTATTTAAATACTAAATCCAAATTACAATTTAACTTTTACATTTAAATGATCAGTTAACTCAATTTCAGACCATTTGAAATTTGAATACGTAACAGGTTTTATAAGTGACTGCACATAATCCGCCTTTGGCTTTTATCTGCGAGTTATTTTATACCAATCTCATATTTACTGTTTTCTCTTATTAAGTATTTGTTTTTGATATTGTTGGAAACATAGCTAACTACAAAGAACAGTCTCTTAGTTCTTCTGGTTACTGCTTCCTGCTAATAAACATTTGCATTTTACATTGCTGAAACCATAAACACAAAAGGAATATTTTATCAATGATAAAGTACTCATCTCTGAGCTACGGCATGAAAAAATAATCGATTTTATTTCGGGGGCTTGTTATGTAAAAATACTTCAACACGACACCTAATAAGTACTTAAATTATGCATAAAAAATTCTAAAAAAAAAAAGAGCAGAAACATTTGATTGTGCAAATTATAGTTTCTGTTCATTTTGCAATTTGAGCGAATAAAATCACAGCAATAATCAAGTAATGGCTGATTAAAGACTCAAGAAGAAATGACTTTGTCTTACCTAGAACGGTGATGTCCTGCGTTGATCTCGACATATTGTGAGCGTTAGATGCTAAACATGTATACGTTCCGTTATCTTCTCGCTTTAAAACATCAATCGTCACTGACCCCAAATCTACCACTTCGCTGATCTGTGTGACTTGGATGTCTACTCGACCTTCTTCCACTTTGAGCGCTTGACCGTCTTTCTCCCATTGGATGACGGCCCTGGGGAAGGCCGTCACCAGACATTGTAGTTGTACTTTTGTACTGACCAAGTTAGAACTGTTGGTTTCTTCTACTTCAATAAATATGGGCACTGGAATATATATATATATATATATATAGATTTGTCACGGTTTGCAACATATACCATCATCTAAGTGTAATTATTATTTAATTAATTTTTTTTATCATTACTATTGATACTAATTATTAACAAATGATCTATGTTTTACAGTCCAAATTTACTGTATATTTTTAAGCACTATTCAAATTTCTATTGTGGGGAAAGAGAATGTAACGAACAAAATACGCGCTATTAGTTCCATAATTATTTTTTATGATTGTTTGTTTGTTTAAAGTTAAGCAATGGGCTATCCATACTCTGCCCACCAAAAGTATCAAAACCCGGTTTCTAGCGTTGTGAGTCCGCAGACATGCCGATGTGCCACAAAAGTGGTGTTTTTTTTATGAATCTTCTCATTTATTTAGTGAACAGTAAATCTGACTTTCAATCTTCGAAACAAATTCATATCAAACCAATGAAATCAAGCACATGTTTTGTATGAGGTTGTGGTAGTTATAATTATCGTCACCTGCTCTACTTGCCGTGAAGTTTCGGCCTAACAATAGTATGGGCTGTCTACATGTTGTCGTCATCTGCTCTAGTTGCCGTGAAGTTTCGGCCTAACAATAGTATGGGCTGTTTACTTGTTGTCGTCACCTGCTCTAATTTCCGTGAAGTTTCGGCCTAACAATAGTATGGGCTGTTTACTTGTTGTCGTCACCTGCTCTAATTTCCGTGAAGTTTCGGCCTAACAATAGTATGGGCTGTCTACATGTTGTCGTCATCTGCTCTAGTTGCCGTGAAGTTTCGACCTAACAATAGTATGGGCTGTCTACTTGTTGTCGTCACCTGCTCTAGTTGCCGTGAAGTTTCGACCTAACAATAGTATGGGCTGTCTATATGTTGTCGTCACCTGTTCTAGTTGCCGTGAAGTTTCGACCTAAGAATAGTATGGGCTGTCTATATGTTGTCGTCACCTGTTCTAGTTGCCGTGAAGTTTCGACCTAACAATAGTATGGGCTGTTTACATGTTGTCGTTACCTGCTCTAGTTGCCGTGAAGTTTCGACCTAACAATAGTATGGGCTGTCTATATGTTGTCGTCACCTGCTCTACTTGCCGTGAAGTTTCGACCTAACAATAGTATGGACTGTCTATATGTTATCGTCACCTGCTCTAGTTGTCGTGAAGTTTCGACCTAACAATAGTATGGGCTGTCTACATGTTGTCGTCACCTGTTCTAGTTGCCGTGAAGTTTCGACCTAACAATAGTATGAGCTGTCTACACATAAATCTTTAGTCATCATGAGCGTGTGCACGAAGTCACACACAGACATAAACATATGTGTAATTTACGGGGGGATATAGCAGTATGTCACCCTCACAGTTTACATTAATGGGGGATTGTTCCCCTCATATTTCAACACCCGTAGCATTGAATTATAGGATGTGTTCATGCAAAGCATATAGCAACTAGAGATGACATTTCATCTTAAACATTTATAAACTACTTCCAAGAAATGACCTTTTCGGAACAATAACATAATTATGTATATCTTTATCAACACTTTCCTCTTGAGACATATGGTCCTTAGTAAGAAGCCCCATGAGAAAAGCCTTATATGTGTCTCTATAAAGACTATTGACGGTTACACGTAACCACCTACAAAGAGCTATGGTAGTCAAATGAAATCGATAGACAGGTTTATTTGAAGCCTGACTCAAATAGACAAGTTTTACTCCATGCGCTCAACAATGTGTCTGTGAAATGTACAGAACGTCTCCAAGCGCTTTATAAAAGGTAGTCAAGTTCTGATATAATGCGAAACAACATTTCATAAACGTATATTATAATGAATTGTACAAAGAAATCTATTTTAAAATACAAAGTTACCCAAATGTGATCAAATACACAGCTAAAGCAATTCAGGAGCGTTTTAACATGGCCAGAAAACATTTCATAAGTAACTCACGCGTTTCAGTTGAATTAAATTACTACATTTGAAATGACACTTAAAAGTAATGTTGCTGTAAGCTTTGTTCTTTTAAATAAAGTACAACTTTACCATTTAATTTGCTCATACTTGGCTGCTTGGAATTGAGCACAAAGCTACACGATGGGCTATCTGTGCTCTGCCCATCACGGGTATCGAAACCCGGTTTGTAGCGTTGTAAGTCCGCAGACATACCGCTGTGCCACTGGGGGGCATATTATTGTCAATGAAGAGCTATGGCTTATGTAACATAGACAGAAAACCTCCTATAATTTTATCTATCCTGGATGTTTTAATAAAAGTATTCAAAATTAATTGAACATTTGACAATTATTACTTCTGAGGTTTTTGATTATAATTAAAGGAAATCGTTACTTTAAAGCATCGTCCATTTTAAATATGTATTAGTAT